GGGCTCACCGATGAGAGAATTGAACCCAAAGCCCTTATGCAGATGCATAAATTAGTTTGACAGTGGCAAAAATATTTTCCTTTTCCCTGACCATCCATACATCTTGTATGAAACTTATTTTATTAAATGTATAAGTGTTCTTCATCCACTTTCTGAAGCTACCTTGAAAGAATTTGTGGCAGCCCACCTTCATCAATTAGATCCCAAATCCCAAGGCACATGCCTGAGAGAAAGCTGTATGCCTCCCACTCAGCCCTGAAGGAAGCAGGATTTAACCCCAGAAATAAAGGCTGTATCCAGCCAACAGGTTAGATCTGTGTATGCTGCAATTAGACAGCTGTGACTGGCCCATATCAGGTGACTGGGGCTCAGGCTAAGGGGCTGTTTAATTGCAGTGTAGATGCTGCAGCCTGAGCTCTAAGACTCAGCCACCTTGCAGGGTTCTAGAACCCAGGCTCCAGTCCCAGCCTGAACATCTACACAACAATCAAACAGCCTGTGAACTTGAGTCAGCTGGCACAGGCCAGCTGCAGGGTTTTTAATTGAAGTGTAGACATCCCCTTAATCTGCCCAGAGACAAAACCTCAGTTAGTACGAAGGATCATTCAGGGGCTTCTGTGAGGAGTCTCCCAGCTCCAGTATTTGTCCTGTGCAGCTTGTACATGGTAGGTTGCAGGGCTGCTACTAGCAGGTCAGGCGGCTGTACCAGATTTGAACTGGCTATAGAGCTTCCTTCATGGAAAGAGACACAAGAGGTGTTCTCTTCAAGATATTTTAATGCATTGCCAGGTATGGCTGTGATCAGCTCAGGTAAGGTATATTACACATGATGCCACCTTGTGGCAGAACATTATAATACAGTGTTAGCATTCCATCACAGCAATAGTACAACATACAGAGTCCCCAACATGTACATACTCTCCAACCCTACTACCAGCCTCTTGTTAAAAAACAGGTATTTTCTGCTGCTTGTAGTCACTTAGTGCTCAGTCTCTGCTGCATTGCCTGGTGTCCATCCACACACTCACTTTGCTGGTTCAGAGCTCTGCTGCTGTATATAGGTTGCCTCCTCCTCCAGCAACACACTCTCACATCAGAGATATGTCTCCTCTTTACAGCCCCACCCTGGTGTCAGTAGATTAGCCTAGACCCGACCATCTGGCCTGTACCTACCTGTCCCTATGTGGGCAGGGTGGAGCTCCTGCTATGCAGTGACATTCCTGTCTTTCCCTGTGGGAGGTAGTCTGGCAACAGGAAGTCAGGGATGGGATTTCCTCCTCGCCCTACAGCTAACTAGGGCTCAGCTCCCTTCTCTGACCCACTTGTACACAAACAGGACTCCTCCAGTTAGGGCTGGACCCTTCACATTACAGTGGGACTCCACATCACTCAGATTTCAACCTGCTTTCCCATATTATTCAATATTTATACAAGGCTGCTGGGAGAACTGGTGAGAATACAGAGACTAAGGTGTTAGTAGTTTGCAGACAACACCCATCTTCTGTATGAGAGATTAGTGTACATTTTACAATGCGGAGGTGAAATCACCCCCTAGATGGCTGAAGCTGAGACCAGGTAAATCTGAGGTGATGCTATTGGAAGAGGGAAGTGCTTTTAGTAACTTGCTCATGCTATCACTTCCCCCACTATTGAAGATATCTACTGTTGTACTGTCAAGATGGACTGCAGTTTTGGGGTCCTTTTGGGACTCCTCAGTGCTAGTGGATGCCCAGATAGCTCTGATGGCTGGCTACCCATGTTACCATGGCCACACTGCTATTTTTTAGCAGGCTAGCTCCAGCAGAGGTAGGGTGTGTCTATTTGCCCACACTAAGAAACACTCCCAGCTGCGTGTGGATGGACCCTTACTCAGTTAATTCTCCTTTAGCTGACGTCAGAAGCATGTGCTTCTGCTGGCAAAGGTCCTGGGTCAATTCTCACTGGTGGCTGGGTTGTCTGCATATATGTGACCATAGATATATTACAAAGCAACTTGGATTTCAAGTCTCCTGTAGATTTAGCAGCACCATCAGTCTCCTGTTTATTTTGGTGTAGGAGGAAAAGGGAGAATGTTGTTTTAAATGTTTGAAGTGAGCAAACAGAATGGAAACTCCTACATTCATTTCTCTTGGTGAGCTACTCCCTCTGATATTACTGTTCCAGACTCTTACTAGTAAAAGCAAGAGTATATTATCCTAGTTGAACATAGATCAACCATCTCATGCTCTTTTTTCTGTATTTGTGCATGGTGATTTATTTCTGTTTGACAATTATGACTTTACTTGATTCATAGAATCATATTCATCAGTGTTTGTACAGTGCCTTGAAACTGAAAAGTCCCACATAAAAAACTGTTAAGTATAAAAGTATATTGCATTGTTTCCCACTAACAAAGCCATCTATATGCAACAGTGACCATTTCATATTGTTCAGACATGTAAGCATGAAACTGGTCAGATAAATCAGCAGTTTTATTGGATTAATAAACAGCAATGTAGAATGACATTCAGAGAGGTATTCAGCTGGATAAACTAGATACTTTTCAATAGCCTTTCAGATTCTTTATATTTATTTCTCCACACTAAACGTATATGGGATAAGCTTAGGAGGTCAAGAGAAAATAAGCAAAAGTCAAAGAGAGACTTGCAAAATAAACAGCACCATCTGGTAAATGACTTCCTCCTTCCTTCACAGGAAGAGCTCTTGTTCAATGCAGTTCATGTGAAATGTTTTTCTTGGCATGATTATAGGATTAATGTCCATCAGTCTGGGAATGGGGTTCATACAGGTTTTTATATTCCTATTACTCTTATAAAAAAACTACAAAGCTGGACGGTTACATGTAGAAGCCATATGCAGCAAAGGACAAAGTAATGTTTTATGTTGATCATAAAATAGTGTTTATCCCCCTAAAACTTAGTAATTTTATGAAGACTTTTCCCATCTCTGTTCTAAATTACACAACTATGCTGAGGAGTCCTAGCATCACAGTTTGCAAAGTAACTCCCTGCTCTCCATGTGTCAGTATATAATGCCTGCATCTGTAACTTTCACCCTATGCATCTGAAGAAGTGATGTTTTTACCCACGAAAGCTTATGCCCAAATACATCTGTTAGTCTTTAAGGTGCCACCAGACTCCTTGTTGTTTTTGTAGCATCACAGTTCTTCCTTTCAATTAATGCACTTCAGATCCATCCTCAATTAAACAAAAAGATACTAAATGCCTAGGACCAGATGGAGCCCAGAGATACAGCAGCTCCCACTTAATGCGTGAGGACCCTGGGAGAAGAAAGTCTTCCCAAAGAAGGTTAGTGGCACTAAACATCAGTGGCATTGGCTATGAAGGGGACATGGCTAAACTGATAGGTTGATCCACTCTGGTTCAGTGAATTCCTGCAATAGTTTCTGCAGGCAGGACTTCTAGGGAGCCCAGGTTGTAAGTTAAAGCTGCCCTTCCCAGCAGAATTGCCTCAGACAGGTGTCAGTGCAAACTCGGGAGTGAATCCTCCCTGAGATCCATTTTCCCCAAATGGAGCAAGGGCAAACATGCAATTTTAATAGTATGGAAGAAAAAAGTCCCTAATCTCTATAAACAGAGGTTTAAAAGTTCAGTTTGTTTCCTCGATCAGAATCCACATAGTAGTGCTCAGTCATATGAGTACTTCACTGAATTCATCTAAGCATGTTAAGACTTTAGACATCGGTAATGAAGTTTCCTGTGGTCTTTTGCACTGCTTGGACTTTGTTCAATAGTAAATAGTTTAACTGGAAGAACAGAAATGATCCCCTCTGAACTTGGATATGTTTGGACAAAATGGAAACCAAAAAAAACCTGTGGGAGTAGCTGGCGCCTGGACCAAAATCTGTGCTTTAGTTCAGCCTCGCATGCTGTGTGAAAGGCTGTTTTTAATGGTTTTCAGTGATGGGCTGAGAGATTAACGGTCATTCATGAGGCCACGCAGAAGATCTTTCCCCGCTGCCTGCAAGCACGGGGAAGGTGAGATGGGGAGATGAGAGATTATTAAAGCAAAGCCCTCTTTATTATACATAATTCCCTTGATATGCGATATTAAAAATTCTAGGAACAGGGGTTGTAATTTGGCAGCATCAGCATTTGTACTGTCAAATTCTGCCTGCCTTACTTGAGTAGCCATGATGACTGCAACAGAGCAAAATGTGGCCCTTACAGTGAAAATACCATAAATGCAGTCTTGTAGACTGTCCAGATTAGTTGCAATGTGGTCCTGATGCCAGTACACCAGGTTAGCTTCTTCAGTCGAGCCACTCCTGATTTAAACTTGTGCAATGAAAGCACACTCCAGCCCTCTGCTTTTACATTTATAATTAAATGTGTCTGCAGTCTTTGCTGAAAGCAGACTCTTTGTTGGCAATTTGGGGTGAATCATACAGTTGTTCTGATAACAGGAGATAGTTGTATTTAACTGTCATCTTTGATTAATGTCCTCTGGTTACTCCTTATCTACCAAAATATGACCTCTCTATAGGCATCCTCCATCTCATGTCAGCAAGGGCAAAAGCCAATTTCTTGGCCTTTGTAGCTTGGGCTAAAGGAAGGTATTGGAGCAGAGATCTACGATGGATGAAAGTCTGGGAACAGTTATTTCTAGTTGATCCACACACCAAAAAGAGCAGGAAGTGAGCTTATTTATGGAACAGCTTGTCTATTAAGAAACCTACAGTAGTTTTATTTCTATCCCAGCCCCAACCCACCAAAAAAAGATAAATAAAAAGCAAGCAAAGGAAAAACATTTGCACTGTTTAAAATTAAAACAATCTCAAGATCAACCAAAGGGGAGAAAAGTCTCAAACTTCTCAGGGAGTTTCAGTAGTCATTTCCTTAAAATGCAAGACAGCCATTTTGTCACTGCTTTCTAAAGCACATATTGTCTATTCTTTTTCTAAAGGTGATATAATCTTATATGAAAATAAGAAAATGATTCCTCACATAGAAAGGGGACTGTAAGAAGGTCCAACTCACCCCTGCGGCATCTCCTGCTAGTCATCCAGGGAATTAGCTCTCCAGCCTCTGGAGCGCCCTCTGCAGGCCAGTGATCCACCTTTCCACTTCTTCTGGGCTCCTGTGTCCCTCCCAGGACCCCGGTACCCCTTGCTCTGGGAGCTGCCCCCTGGCAGTACCCACACACTAGGTCTCTCCTCCCTGGGGAACCCCCACCCACTATCCCCACCTTGCCTCAGCACTAGGCCACTGCCAGTCACCAACTAGCCCCCACTCCCTGGGGCAGACTGCAGTACAGGCCACTCATCACTGGCAAGGGGGGTTTGGACCTGCTGTCTTGGCCTACCCTCTGCAACCCCCAGTACCCCTTGGCCTTCCGCTAGGCTGCAGACTAGGGCTATCCAGGCTGGAGCTCCCCAGCCTTGCGCCACTCAGGTAAGCTATCTCTAGCTTACTGCAGCCAGGCCCTTCTCTCTCTGAGTACAGAGAGAGGCTGCTGGCTGCCCTGGCCTTTATAGGGCCAGCTGAGCCTGTTTGGGGCGTGGCCCCAGCTGCAGCCACTTCCCCCAATCAGCTCAGCCTAAAAGCTGCTTTCACCAGCCACAGCCCCCTCTGGATGGGAGTGGGGTTACCACCCCACTACAGGGATATTCCAAGGTGGGTAAAGTTTCAGTTAGTTTTAAAGGTGAGTATTAATCCAGTGTATATCCATGGGCTAGTGTGTGCAAATTGTTCAGGGCAGGACTGTGCTGTGCTGCCCATTAGACAGCATAGGAAGAAATTCTGCTTCCAGGAGGAAGAATTCCTCTACAGTACACAGCATGAACATGTGAAATGCTGCAGCCCTTCAGCGGGTCCAGAATAACCATTGTTCTCCCCAAATGCACTGGTCCTGCTCCACCATGGTCCCGTCTTTTCCTATTGGGGTGAAGTCAACCCCTGAGCACAAAGGGAAAAAGTGGTATCTGCACTCTCCTGAGCCCAGTGTTTACAATTGTGGTTGGACTTTATGCAGATCGTGCAAGGTGAGGAAGATTCCTTGTACTCTTTCCCCTCCTTACGACCATGTGAGGGCCAGCCACAATCTGGCTCTGTGGCTATTGTCAGTCACATGTACACTGTTCTAGCATTATTTAAAAGACAAAATGAGTAAAGATAAATCATTCTCTTTGAAAAGTAGTACTATATTGGGCTGATTTATTGGGAAGATTCTCTTTTGACCTCTCCTTGCATTTTTCACCCATTTTGCAAGGTATAAATGATAAGGTAGAAGGCAGTGGAGAATCAAGCCCTTTATTACCTTTACTCAATTTGAGCAACACCAGGTCACGTGAGGAGTCCTTACTGACTGCTACTCCATGAAAGGAATTGGACCCTTGATGTTTTGCTTAAAGACTCTGGGCCAAACTGTGCAGAGATGAGTGGAGGAAGAGGGCACAAGCAGCCTGCTCACTTTCTCCCCTGCACAGGAACTGGGCACCATTTCAATCCTTGAGCAATATGAGCGTGAAACCCATGAGGCCTGTAACCACTGCAGCATTAGACTTTCCAAAATGAGCTGATGCCAAGGTCATAGTCTCACTCCCTTTCACAAGGGCCAGTGGAACTGTTTCCTAGTGTATCAGTACATGCTGCATCCTCTAAAAAGGCATCCCATTGACTTCTAGTCCTCTGTGCTTCCCAGCACTCCAAGAAACTTTGGGCCTCACTCAGCACCTCTAAAAGCCAGTCATTCCTTTGAAATGTAATAAGAAGGTCATCATAAATTCATATTTTAAAATAATTGTATGCAAGGACTGTAGTTATGAAGGATACAGCTGGTTACTTCCTGCTTCGTCTTTTTGAACTGAGATGAAATTTTCTAACTTTTTTTTGGGGGGTGGGGTGGGGAGGAGGGGATTTTGGCAACGTTTGAATTGAATGTCCTGAATATATTTTGGCTACAGCCACCATCTTTGTGTTAAATCACATCACACTGAGTTTGTATGGTGTTAGGCATAACTACTAAGTCTAGAACACTGTTACAAGAGGGTGATTTTAACAAAATGGATTATGTTAAAACATTGGGAAACCACTTTCAACTCCCATTTTAAGTACCAAGGACAAATTTAGGATATCAGTTTACAGTGCTACCAATCTATTTTCTTATATAGCCTTCATCACGTGGACCCTGAGCACCTCCCACATTAAAAGCAAGAACATTGGTCTGGAACCTTCTTTGGCTCTGTTGACACTTGGCAAAGAACCAAGTGGCAGTGACAGACTGGGCTATGTCTGTGTCACCCATCTCCTAGCACTGGCCAGCACAGCAGGGTGGGCAGAGGATTGTACAAGTTGTAACCACATAAGAGACATGTGTGACAGCTCCCAGGGATGCAATGCTTCCAATTCTGTTTCCAACTCTGCACTATTCCCCAAAGAGGGCTGTGCCTATGAATGAGCCCATACCTCACATCTCCACCCCTTCTCCACACACACATTGATATTAGTAATAAAAACAGATGTAATCCATGCTAATGCAGAGAGACAGCTCAGGAAAAATTCCATCAAATGAAAAAATACATCTCTCATGAGGCTAAAAGCTCTAAGACTCCCACCTGATTTAGTTGGATGCTCTTTTCAAAGATTTGAACCACTGCAATAGATAAATCACTTTGCAAGATTTTATCCTGTGCAATTGTACTTCTGATGTACAAACTCTACTGTCTGGCCAAGTTATTTATTATTTTTAAATGACTGTTTACTTTATTGTGTCTGCAGTTCACTTATTTCCTGGGTGTGTAATTTTGGAGAGAAACGTTCTGAAGTATGGAATGTTAACCATCATATTTTAAGCTAATTCAAAAAGTCATACATTTTGTCTGTGATGTCAGTTACTCAAAGGAAAATTTGTTCTCTCTGAAAGAGGGAATGCAAGTGATATCTTTGGGTGAAAAACAAAACGAGAAAAGAGAGATCATAAGCAAATGTCTTTATAAATGAAAGCTGATTTGTCAAACGAGCTAGGATTTCATAGTAATGTCTATTATTTTCTAAACAAAAACACCTTCTCCAGGTGTTGAGTGTGAAGAGAGGGATCATGAAACTTCAATCTTCTGTGTACAGATGTTACCTCCAGCTTTCAATGTGGATTTATACTTGATAAGACAGCATGGATCATCACTCATGATTCTGGGAGGGGAATAAAAAGAAGGAATGCTTGAGAAATAAATGTTCTTTGGTTGTACATCACATCCTGTGGCCAGCTGTAATTTAAACAAATCCTTGCTTATATATTTCCTTCCAGCTCTGGCCTGAGTGCAGGCGGTGTTTATACCTCAGGTGCTTCCTGTGAACTTTTGGAAACTATTGGGCCAGATCCTCAGATGGTGTAAACAGTCATAGCTCCACTGGATCTGACCTAGTGAAATTCCCTCACCTCCCATTACACCCAGGAGACAGAGTGGCACTTTTAGTCCACTCAACTTCGTATCTCACTTTGAAGCAATCAGAGCTCCTGAGGGGTCAGATGTTTAACACCCTTCTGGGTCACCTATGGGTCAAATTAAGACACGTGAAATGACATGGTGAGTCTCAGCTGAGACCCCACTGGACATTCATCTATGCCACAAAACCACCAAAGAAAGAACACAACAAGAACAAAAATTAAAAACAAAGGACTAGTCTATCCCAAAATACATTTTTATCACTACCAACCTGCATCCCCCCAATGCATCAAAGGGCAAACTTGTAAAATATTTTCATCTTATTACTACTACAAATAATACTTGAGTGATTCATGGCAAACCTTCACTCTTTATTGTTTTACCCCACTCAGAAACTGAGCCTTATTGTGCTTGTAAAGCACAGTCCTGTGTTGGGGGCAGTATGCAGGTGCACTCTCCTGGCGTGAGCTCCAGAAGGCACTGTACCTCCTGTGGAGATGCTAGAGTAGGCAGTGGGACTAGAACAGAGCAGCTCTTGCACTCTCTGAGCACAAGGACTGCCATTGTGCCCAGCACTGCATGGGGATAGAATGGAGGAAAGCTCCTTTTACCCTCTTCCCGCTTGCAAATCCATACAGAAGCTAAACACAATCTTGCTCACTGTCTATATGGCTATCCTAATTTTTTGTTCAATGATAGTCTGAGAAAGAAAGCAATGTCACAGCCTGCTTTTCCTCCTCTTCTGTTAAAAGTATGCGTATTGGGCTCAGGCTAAGATCAATGGCTTTTGCAGATTTAATGATGTTACAGCAAGTTACACATCCAATGCCAGGCAATCTACATCCCAGTTTAGGAGAAGAGTTAAGAGGCAAAATCTGATAGTGACTATGCCAGGGGAATAGAGTCTTTTCTGAAGCCAGAAACAAGGAATGTGAGTAACTTCTTACAGTGAAAGCACAAGGAGGTGAGGGATTCAGAAAGAGAGCAAGTGAACAAGATATCTGACAAGTCAACTCTCATTTTTTTTAGGGACAAGTCTGGTTTTCAAAGTAATGACAGTTATTTCCAAACAATAACAAGTTTAGAGGCTTTCATCCTTACTCTTGTTTTATTTCTTTTCTTGGTTTGTTTGGTGTGCTTGGAGGGGGAGAGGTGGTCATTGTCTCAAGCCAAAATGGAGGAAGAGTTTTCTTCTTTGATGGTCCCTGTTTGTTTTTGTTTGATTCCAGGCTAGTAAGACTTCCCAGGCATAGGCCTTTTTTAGAACTGGTTTTAATTCATAGAAAATTTTGACTTAACATTGAAAAACTGAAAACCAAAGGTTTTCTGTGTTTTTTCCTGAAAACTCAAAATTTTCCATGAAAAGCATTCCCCCCCCCAAATTTTTGTTTAGTCAAAAATCAATTTTTCCATAGTAAAACAGTTTTGATGGAACATTTTCAACCTGCCTTTGTTGGTATGGGGTAAAAGATGGTCCCTGTGGGAAGAGATGTGTTCTCCACAGTCTTTGCCTACTTGTCTGTTGCCCTTAGATCCCTTATTGAATGGCTAGACAACACCTAGGACAGCATGAATGCTACTACCAGCAAATAATTAAGAATACAATGCTAATAAGCATATTGTAAGAATGAGCAAGTTGATCCATAAAGTCTGAACATACTGGTTAGCATGATTCAATCAAACAGGCAAAGTTAAAATCTTTTGTGGAAAATGAGTGAGTTA